CCCCCGGCAGAGAACCTATTTGGGAACAGAGACGGAGAGGCAACCCCTTTGATTCACCTCCCGTGCTGGAGTTTGGCCTTGGAGGAGTCACCCCCGAGTCCAGCGTGCCGTCCGTTCCCCCTAGTCACACACCAGCCCTAGTCAAGGTTATTCTCGCCTGCACCTGTCTTGATAGGTGACTGGAATTAAGAGGCCAAGAGCCACCAGGTGCCCGGGTCACTCAGGGAGGCAGCCAGGGACCATAGGGAGCTTGGATATCAAGAGGGGAGGAGTCTGGGGAAAGCCGGCGATTTCCAGGGAAGGGGGCATCCCTTGCCAGGAGACCCTCGGAAAAGAGGGGAAAGATCTGGGAAAGGAACGTCCCGGGGTTCAGAGACTCGTGGTGGTCTGGGGTTGATCCCGTGAGCAAGCAGGACCCCAGACCTTCGGCGTGGGAGGTCCCAGAAAAGGGCCCGCGTACCTTGGCTTTGTTGAGCAGAAGCCCCACGAAGGTAGAGAGCAGCAGGGACGGGGACAGAGGGGAGCGCGGCCGCAGCTCCTTGGCGAGGGCGGGAAAGGGGGCGGCGGGGGGCTCCTCGGGCAGGGTCACGGTGTATGAGGTACGCATGCTGCGGAGCGGGCGGTGGGCTATGCCCCCAAACCGGCGCGGCTGACCAAGGGGTTACGGGGAGTCCCCGCGCCGTGCCACAACCCGGACACCGAAGCCAGCAGAGATCCCACAGGACCCCGTCGGTAACGCGGGGCAGTTACCGCTACTGCAGGGCCCAGCGCGCGCTCCTCCGCCTCAACCTACCCACCGCGCGCAGCCAACCGACCGGGCCCAGCGCTCGCGCCCCGGCGGACTGGCTGACCCGCCGAGCCTCCAGCCGCGCGACGTCAGCGCCGGGGCGGGGCCGGGCTCCGGACCACGCCCCACCCCGCCTCCGCCCCGCCCCTGGAGCCGGCACGCGGACTCCGGCGAGGTCGCAGGACCTGCCCAAAGCTGCTGACCCCGAGCCACAGACACGCGAGAAACCCTACTGGGGCAAAGCGGGGACGCGCTGTCCCTGGCCGGCCCAGGGGTTGGACTCCACAGACAATCTTTGGGATCTTTGTGGGACGACCCCTTAAGATCAAATGTCAGTCAGCTTGGAGCGACTCCGCCCAGGCAGCAGTTGTGAACTTGGGGTTGCAGATCCTTTTGAGACCCCAGCGACAGCTCACTATTTTTCAGGACAAAATGCATAGGCGCACACTTTCGTCTACCTAGGTCTTCGTGACGCCCAGCCTCCTCACGTCTGCAGGGGTCGAGGAGCCCCGGCCAGGAAAGACTCCCGAACGACTCCCGGGCTGAGCTCCGCTCCACCTCTAGACCTAGCCTACCTAGCCCCTATCAAGAGAGGCGGTGTTCATTTTATAAGGTACAATAGGTCATTGGCCCTTTTGGCTCCAGGAAAGAACCATTTTTGGACCATCCTGACCTTTTACCCAACTCCATCTCTTATAGAACCTCAAATTTAACTTTTATAAGAGGATGGGAGGAAGACGCTCCTCCTGTGTGTGTGAGGTAGGGGTGGTCTTGGGTGGGGGTGGTCTCTGGCCTCCACGTGGCCAACGCTTAAAGGCCTAGGTCTAGGGAGAGGGGTTTGTTTCTGATGCTCCGCCCCCTCACCTAACAGGGAAACGCAGGAATCTGCCGAGAGAAAGTATCTTGTTTGGAGCTTGCAGGCTATTTTTAGCTAGTATTTTTAGCGTTTAAAAATACTCGGAGAGGCAGCAGTGTGCGCTGTTACTCATCTGTGGGTTGCTTCTGTTTCTCCCGGCAAGCGCATTCCCACATGTACACGCGTACCGCGCACACGACCACAGCCACATGGGGACTGCGTCCGAGATGTTTGCGTGGGTTGTACCCTAGGCCACCCACAAAATAGGAATCTGGTGCCAATAAGATGGGGGAGGACGGACAAGTCTCTCACCATTATGTCCCCAGCAGTGATAAGGGAAGGAGGCGGGAGCAGGAGCCACTAGGCATTTAGGGCGGTCACGATTCGAGGCATGATCTTCGGACTTTGCCCCAACCTTGGACCGTGGACACACGGCGACAGCCCTTTTCTCCAAGTTCCGTCTTTGCAGCTACACCCTTTCCCAAGGTGCAGCTCCCACACTGGGCGCATCAACGCTCGCATTTGATCACAGCACTGCTGTATGATAACTGGAGCATCGTGCACGTGGTCCAGGAGGCTGTAAACCTGCCTGTCTCTAGCCTCTTTCCATGATCATCACCCTCGTGCCTCTCTGGTCCCAGCCACCAACTACCTTGCTCCTATTCTGCTCTTAAGAAACAGGGCTCGAGCTGGGCAGACGGCCCAGCAGGTAAATGTGCTTGCCTCCAAGACTGACTGAGTTTGGTCCCCGGGACTCACATGGTCGAAGAAGAAAACCGACCTCCACAAACTGTCTTTTGACTTCTAGGCTTACAAAATAAATAATTTTATTTTGACACAGGGTCTAACTAGGTAGCTCTGAATGTCCAGGAACTTGCTATGTAACCTCATAGAGGTCCTCTTGTCTCTGGCTCCTGCGTGCTGTGATTTAAGGCAAACCATGCGTGGGTTATTTATTTATTTTTAAAGAAACACAACTAGGCTAGGTGGTAGCATGTGCCTTTAATTCCAACACTCAGGAATCAGAGACAGGTGGATCACTGAGGCCAGCCTGGTCTACCCAGGACAGCCAGGGCTACAGGAAGAAACCCTGTCTCAAAAAAGCTAAAAAGCCAACCAACCAAACAAAAAAGAAAGAAAGAAAGAAAGAAAACCACAACAGAACTAGCTGAGCATGGCACCAAAGAAAACCACAACAGAACTAGCTGAGCATGGCACCAAAGAAAACCACAACAGAACTAGCTGAGCATGGCACCCCTATAATCCCAGCAGCACTCGCTGAGGCAGGAGGATGGCTAGTTTGAGGCAAGCCTGGGCTGCATAGCAAGATTCTATCTTTGTAAGATTTTCTCCAGCAGTGTAGCTGGTTCGGTGCCATGCTCCTGTTAATAACCTCTTATCCATGCCCCTGCTAGCAACTCTAAGGAAACTCATTGGGTCTTCTTGGGAAGAGATAAGTGAGGGTGATGGGGAGGAGCTAGGGGAGTATGATCAAAAGATGTTAGGAGCATGTGTGAGACTATCATAATGGATTCACTATTGTGTGTGTGTGTGTATATATATATATATATATATATTTATGTTAACAGAAAACACTGAAATCACCCTGAGGTGAGGGCTGGTAAGATGGCTCATCTGGTATAGGTGATTGCCACCGAGTTCCAACCGTAGGTTCCTTACACCACATGGAAATAAATTTGGCAACTTATGCTCTGCCTTCCACCCCCGTGCTGAGGCAAGGGTGTGACCACACACAATAAACGAATGTAATAAAAACACTCATGCTGGGATGCAGTTCAGTTGGAGTGTTTGCCTAGCGCACAAAGCCCTGGATTTAATCCCCATCACCGCATAAACTTACATATATAATATCGTGAGATGAGACGTTCAAGGTCATCGCTAGCTGTATAGTTAGTTCAAGGCTGGCCCAGAGAATGGCCTTACGTGTGTGCACACACACATACCCCAAAGCTGCTGCTATTAAGTCCCTTGAAAGACCAAGCACTGGTCTATGAGCTTTCTATATATTACCCTAGTTAATTTCCATAATCACCCCATGAAGCTGTAACTATTACTTTAGTTTATAGGTGAAGGACCTTATCGCCCAGAGGGGTCAGTGTTCTGACGGAATGCAGAGCTAATAAATGACCATGTGGAGCTCGGAACCCAGACTGTCTGATGGCCAAACTCACACTTTTAACAAGGGCTAGAAACTCTAGGATGGTCCTCCTTCCCTCCGCCTATTTATACATTCTAAAAACTTGACTTTGGCCAGGTGTGGTGGCATACAACAGTGATTCCAGCACTTGGGAGGTGGAGGCAGGAGGGTTGTAAATTTGAAGCCACTCTGGGTTACATAGTAAGACCCTGTCTTTTAAAAAAAAAACACACACAACCAGCTAACCAACCAACCAACCAACCAACCAACCAAAACACCAGTTTTCTGAGCAGATGGAAGCCCCTGGGTTTGATCTCTTGGACCATACAAACCAGACCGAATCAACTGCTTGGGTCTGGGGCGGTTCCAGTTCAGTGGTAGAGTTAGGCCTTGAGCTTGATTCCCAGAACTACAACAAACAAAACAGCACCCTTGAGCTTTCTATAAAGCCTTCCCTTAATAATTTCACCTAGTTCTAAATACCGGTTAGTTCATTTCCTCAATTTGCACGCTGTTCATTGGAGTATGTTTCTCTTTGTTTTATAACTGTAGAACTTGCAAATGCTCTCAGATGGTGTGTGGCTGTTTTGGTTGCTCCAGCACCCAGGGGCCTCCTCTAGGACAGGGTTGGAGGTTCCTTAATGAGGTCTTAATGAAGAGGACCAGACCAAGCTCTGCTGGGAACCCCCGCCAAGTTGCAGTTTTCCTCGCGGGGGAGGGGTGAGCTGTGGGTGGGGGTGCTGCCCAAGAGATGCTCACCCACGGTAGCCATCAGTCTCTGTCTTAATTACATGTGCACTCCCATCTTGGCCATGCGCCAGCATGCTCTCCCTCTTTCCTGGGATGCAGGAGGTTGCAGGGGAGGTGTGGGTGTTTCTGGGAGCAGGGAGGGACAGATGGGGAAAGCTGCTGCATGGGAGTATTTTGAGAAATCTAGGGTGAGGGAAACAGATTCACACAGCGTCCAGTCTTGTCCAGCAGGTCTGGCTGCTGCAAAATGCAGCCAACAAAGATCTATACCTTATTTCTCAACTAGCTAAGTTTCTGTGAGATCCCCTTCTCTTCAGAGCCTTCTTCCTGAAGTGGGCTGGGTGAAAAGGAGATACTCCTTTAGGGTCTGAATCTGGCTGAAGCTCCATGACTCTAGTCTGAAATATCCAGAGCCCAGTGGGCTAGACTGCAGCCCCAAGGCTGCCATTCCTCTGGGGCAGGGCAGGTCATTTTCTTTACCTCAGTCAGGGTTAGCTCTACAAGGACAGGGACCAAAACCATGCTGCTGCTCTCAGATCGCAGTGGGCAGCTCTGACCAGGTGACAAAGCTTGGGCTCAGGAAGCTGTTTCAAGGCCATGGCCCCAATCCTTGCAAGTGTCTGTCGTTGTCACAGAAACAGACTGCGGGCTTGATGGAGGCGTGGAAAAAGCAGGGGCTCTGGGTCTTGGGGAGGAGCTGGGCTTGGGGAGGGGCTGGGCTTCCAGCCCACAGTGCACCTTGGGGAGGAGGGTCAGTTTGCCCTTCGGACCACCTACAGGAAACTCTACCTCCTTGTGTGAATCAGACCCCTACCGGTCAAATGTTCTGTGCTCCTCCAAGCCTCAGGAAATCTGGCCTGAACCAGCCAAATTCTAGAAGCCCACACACTTCCTTCTCTTGCCTATAGCTCTGTCTCGGGTGCCAGTTTTATGTATCCACTGAGGTAAGAGGGGACAAGGGACCACGTGTACAGCTCAGCTCTGAACATGATGTTTGTTTCTGAGGCTGATGGTCAGTGGAGCGGGTCCCCCGGGGGCAGGGAACATTTTGCTAGGCTTGGATTAACTTGTGTTCCTTTGCTCCACCCCAGCGGGGTGTTAACTTATGGCGACATCCTGGAGTTTGTGTGTGTGCTGTGTGTGTGTGTGGGTGTGTGGGTGAGTGTTGAAGGGAAGACAGAATGGATGGAGGGTTATGGGCACCAATTAAGAAGTGGACCTGGGTAAAGCAGTGCCAAGAATGCTGCCAGGTTCACAGCCTGTAGTCTTTACGAAATGGAGACTGGAGACTTTAGGACTGCACTGTTTCCAACATTTGGTCCCAAACCCACTTCCCTTCCCTCCTAGGTAGTGAGAACTTGTCCTGGCCGTGGGGACTCTCCAGTGTTTCCTCTCAGTGACCTTCTCAGCACAGACTGAAGCCCTCAGGTAGTTTGGCCTCTTTAGAGTGACTGAGCCTGGCTGGGGTGGGCCAGGTAAGGATGGGTCCCAGGGTCAAACAAGAGAGAGCAGAGGTACAGTCCAGTGTGGCTGAGTCAACAGAGAGGGAGGGAAGGAGACAGGAGAGGAAGGTCCACTTTTTGTCCTGGAGTTCTTGGGCAGTCACTGCCACCCTCTCTACTTGTTCTCACTGCGGGGCACCATTCAAGTCCAGAGTCCCACCCGAGAGGTGGGTCACATGAGCTTGGCTTATATAATCTCCCTGTCACTGAACAGCTGGAACCCAAGGCTTCAGAAGATGAGTCAGGCAAATAGGACCAAGAGATTCCATCACCTCTAGAAACAGGTCCCCCAGCAGAGAGAGAAAAAGGGCAGGGCGGGAAGATTGTGTGCGGCACAGACAGCCTAGACCCCGCTTGGGTCCCTCAGTTCCTGGTTCTGTGTGGAGGAGGCAGGTACCTAGCCCGCTGACTGTGCTGAGAAAGGGACCTGGGCCAACGCTTGGCTCTTCTAGGGGAGAGGAGGTGAGGCCTGGGCGGGGCAAGTGCAAGGCCGGCGGCCAGCAGGCAGGGTGCCAGGGCAGGCCAGGGAGCAGCTGGGGGGTGGATCATAGAGGATTAGAAAGGATTGTAGGGGTTAAAGCACAGGCCTGGCAGCGCTCAGTGGGAACAGCTTGTCCTTCCATAGGCCCCGGGAACAGAAGAGGTGGGGCGGAGGGGGGGGCGCCTGGGTTGCTGCTCTCTGGCTTTAGACTCTGCAGGGCTGAGCCACCTGGGCTGGCTTGCCATCCTCACTGGGAGAGTGAGTTTACTCCTTACACCTTGGTGGCTCCTGGCTCATTCTTCTCTGTTTTTGGAGAACCGGAGCCTCAGGGGAGACCCTCACAGTCCCAGGGTTGAGCCGCACCCTCACCCACTACATTCCTCCCTACACGTTATTTGCTCACACTCAGTGGAGCCCGTGAAGCCCCAAGTGAAGGTTGCCCGGTACTGTTTTAGTGGCTTCAGATGCCTCCACCCTCACTGTTGCTTTGAGCCTTGTGGCATCCCTATGAGGTGGTTAAGGCAGGTTTGTGCACTCACTTTTATAGAGGAGGAAAGGCATCTGAGCCACCCAAGGTTAAAGGGTCAGACTGTGTCTTTCAGAGGTCATGGGACAGCCTGGCTTATCCTCAGATGACCTCTTCCTTCTCCACCGCTGAGGACACAAACATTCAAGCCTGCCTCCTATCGTAAGCAGGTAAGAATGGATTTCCTGAGGTGAACTGAAGGCAGGAACTGGCTTGCACATTCTCGCCTCCCAAAACACTCGGCCAGGTGCAAAATGACTGACCTTTCCTGAGCACCTACTGTGTGAGCACCTACTGCGGTCTGAGCACCTACTGCATGCCTGAGCGCCTACTGTGAGCACCTACTGTATGTCTGAGTGCCTACTGTGAGCACCTACTGTGTGTCTGAGTGCCTACTGTGAGCACCTACTACGTGTCTGAGCGCCTACTGTGAGCACCTACTACGTGTCTGAGCACCTACTGTGAGCACCTACTGTGTGTCTGAGCCCCTACTGTGTGTCTGAGTACCTACTGTGTGAGTGCCTACTGTGTGTCTGAGTGCCTACTGTGTGTCTGAGCATCTACTGTGTGAGCAGCTACTGTGTATCTGAGCACTTACTGCATGTCTGAGCACCTACTGTGTGAGTGACTACTGCGTATCTGAGCGCCTACTGCGTGTCTGAGCACCTACTGCGTGTCAGTAGTGCTCCTCTGGCCCAGTAATTTGTGCAATGGGACCTGTGGGTGCTTTCATTTTATAGATGTGCAGACAGCTTCACGTGAAGGGAACTGCCTGGGAAAGCCTGGTACTAGGTGCAGAGTACTGAGCTAGGACGCAGAGCACCGTGAAGATGCTTTGTTTTAGAAAGACGCCATCTTTGGAGAACAGAGATTACTGGAAAGCTTAGGAGGGGGGCAGATTTCAAGGCATCTGCTCTCACTGCTTCAGGATACAATCAGCCCCCGGAAGAGAGCACAAGAGGGCAGAGGTTAAGTGAAGGTCTATAGGCCAGTGAGACCTTGGAGGTCTCTCCTGGCTGGTGGGATTGAGTGGGGCTCAACCTTAGGGCATCCTTGACCACCTAACAGTGTTGTGCCTTGCTTCTGGGTGGGAAGGACAGAGAGGGTGGGGATCGACCTTGCTCAGGATATGTGTTCCTTCTATTAGGTCCTTTCTGAAAACAAGTCTCTCTGGCTCTGGAGCGAGGTAGGGCCAGGTATCTCCGGGAGCAGTGGTGGGAAAGGGGGCAGCAGACTTCAGAAGAGTTGTACCCAGGCTGTGGGGATCTCACTCCCAGAAAGGACAGAGCACACTCTTGTGAGGCAGATGATGGGAGTCTGCAGTTCAGTCTTTGGCCAAGAAAGCTTCAGCTTGAGCAGGCTTAGGCAACCGGAAAGCTTGTAACAGGGCAGATTCGACGGCACTATCAGAATATCTGGAGCGTGTGCTCCAGAGGCCTGGTGAACCACTAAGTGATCCTGACGCAGGCTACCTGCAGACCCCATGGAGAAGCAAAGCACACATATACAAGAAGAGTTCCTTTTTTCTATGCAAAGGAAGAGCCAGCAGAAGCTCCCTCACTCATGGGAGCATTGCCCCTCATCCTCACCCCGTGAACAACACAGCATGTCCCAGTGCACCCTACTCCATCCCATGCCTGTAGCCAACTGGGAGACGCAGCTTTAGGTCTACCATGACACTTCCCAGATGGCCCAGCCAGGCCCAAACACTTTAAGTATTACCAAAGTTGTCCCAAGACCTTTCATCACGGCACACTTTATAGCTTATGACCCAACTATGGCCCCAGGTCCTGAATGCCCCCCTGAGTGTCTGAACAAACCTCTAAAGCACCATTTCTTCTTGTGGCACGGCTCTCATTTACCAAGAACTAACTTACGTTCTATGAGGAGGGGTACACAAGGAAACAAGAGAACACGGCACCCAACCCTCTTGTCCACACGCTTGCCTATTTACGTCCTCTGCCCATTAATCCACCCACCCACACACCCCTCCTCTCCCCCAGTCCCTCCTCCCTCCAATCTAGTCACTCATCCATCCAGCCATGCAATCAGCAGGTGGTCAGCTGAGCTCTGAGTTGCCGGAGGCACCCGGGGAGGGGGGTAGAGATAGGATCATTTGAAATCTCCGAGAGCTCGCCACCTAATGGACACACCAATAACTGCAGGAGAGGCCGAACGTAGTCACTGCCCCAGGGGGAGGTGTGTTAGATTAGGGATTAGATGTGAGCGAGACCACGCCAGCCCTTGGTCAATCTCCAGTAGAACCTCTTCCCTCATTCCAGCCCAGTCAGGGCTGGAGTATTGCGGTATTAGATCATCCCCAGACAAAAGACTCTGCATTATTTTCTCCAAAGACACAAATCCTACTATCCAGATACCCTGGATCTGAGCTGCCAACGTCAGGGGAAAGAGTTCTCCTACTCTTGATATCTCATGGGAGGAGTAGGGATGGGGTGGGAGGATGGCTCTCTTCACAAAGAGAGCATTGTGGTCACCTCCACTCTGGCATCCATCCCTGGATGGACCAGGGCCTACATGGGACCCTGATATTTTGGATGGGAAAGTACAGGGTGAAGAACAATGCAGATAGGGGTGTCTGGACATTCTAGAGCATCTTTGGACCAATTCCCAAGTGTGAAAGGCTTTGGAACCTGGGTCGGCCCTTCCCCTCAGCTCTGAGCCATGGGGCCACCAGCCACGCTGGGATGACCTTCCTCTTACTTGTCTTCACTAGTGCTGCCTTCAACCATGGGTCAGGTTGGGAGATCTGTTCCTAGCCTGGCCCTTTATAAGACTGTCTGTCTCCCCAGCCCGTCACGGGATCCCCAAGAGTAAACTCACCATGGTGTCTTGACCTGGGGAATTGGAGCGGCTGGGCCCAGAGACCTGGCCCTTGCCCTTCTCCCACAGTGTGTAGCGGCCACTTGGTCGGTAGGTGGGACTGAGGACTTCAGGGATTCGGGAGGGAGGGGCTTGCGTGAGCACCTGTGGTGCACTGCCCTTGCGACCATAGTTCTCCAGGTAGTCTGTTAGGTACTCATTGCGGCTGGCTGCTTGGTAGAGGCCCTGCAGGGCACAGAGCTCCTTACGGGTGCGGGCCAGCATGGGGCTGCGGCCCAGGTTCCCCGGGTCTATCCGGTAGCCATCTGAGGTCCGGTAGCCATCTGAAGTCCGGTAGCTATCTGAGGTCCGGAGGCTGGAGAAATCCCGGGCCAGGTCTGAGTGGCTGTTTGATTTCTTCTGGCTCAGGGTCATCCCCTGGTCTCGGGCACTCATGGGCAAGTAGCTGAGGGAGTTGCTGGTCACTCCATACGTGAATCCACTGCCTCCGTTGAGTCCGCTGCCTGAAGGCCTTTCATTGCCCCGGGTCTGGCTCTCAGCGCGCTTACTACCCCCAATGAAGTCAGGTCTCAACAGGGGGCGGCCCCTGTCATAGTCCAGGATGGAGGAGGGGCCGTAGGTTCGGGGCCGAGGGAGGAAGCTGGTTGGGGAGACCGGCTTGAAACCAAGTTTTTCCTTCTCCAGGAAGGAGGCGGCCAGGTTGGCCCCATAGGAAGAGGGGGTGTAGGTGCTATAGCCTGATTTGGCATAAGGGGCATCTGTGTAGCGGGACGACTCTGTATAGCGCTTCAGGGTGGAGGAGAGCTGGGACATCCTTCAGGGTGGCACTCAGTGGGTACTGGGAGCCTCATGGGCTGAAAGACAAGGAAAGCAGTTGTCAAAGTGTCCTGCAAGGTGCCAGGCTTACCCCGTACTTGCTCTTAATGCCACGTGGGCCACAACCTTAAGACCTAACAGGCGCTACTCAGGGCCTGCCCACAACAGGCTGGCTAGCTTCAGAGAAACACATATGCAAACAGGTATGTACACGGGCTTGTGTGTACCCATGAACACACAAGAAAAAATCAGTATCAGTCTGTTGCAGTCTCCCTTGATTCTCCTAAGACCCAAACATGCAGTGTCCCAGCCCCCCTCTATGTCACACACAATCTCTAGGCAGATCCCACCCTGGGCTTCTTCTAAGTCTTGGCAGGAGCTTCAGAGCTGGTGGGGGTTGAAGGAGTCCCGCCACCTTCATTGCCTGGACTGAGGACTAGGAGCATTTTGAGTTACAGCTGCTTCCCTGCCTTTGGGAAGCAATACTCCTTCAGGTACAGACTGCACCCTGGAAATGTGCTGGTGACCACAGGGTCAGATTCCTCATGAGGAAAAAGAGGTCTCAGGAGAGGATGTGTGCTCGAGGAAGTGGTGAGGGAACGTCAGGCAGAGGGGCTGGACCCGACCTACCTCAGTGCTCTTCCTTGGACACAGGCACCTGCTGCTCGGTCACACAGCGAGGGGAACACTGGCGACATAGAACCTATCTATTTTCTTCCCTGTGTTTGGCCTAGTCTAAGTGGAGATTGAGAACCTATGGCCTAGGAGGTTTCCTGATCGAAGCAGGTGCCAAACTACTCTCAGAGTTACTTGACTTGTGCAAGAGGCGCCCCCTAGAGTCGAGATCGTGTACTGCAGAGGAGAGTCCCAGATTGAAGGTTTTTGCGGATTAATCACTGAACGTGGAGGTTGGACAGCCCTTAAGGTCATGCATTTTTAACCTCTCTATTGTACAGATAGGAACAGTGGCGCTTGTTTGCCCAAATTCACATGCTAGCTAGAGTCAGGACTGGAGCCCAGGTCGTGGCCCAGCACTCTTTCCCCTCATCAGAGTTAAACTGGTTCAGAGGCGTCCAGAATCCCTCCACCATGGGGCAGCAGTGGAGAAGGTGCTTTGGAGCAAGGAGCAAGGAGCATTAGGCTCCTTTCTTCAGACACTCTTGAGTCGGGGGCTCAGGTGGAGGCCTATCCAGGACTCTCAGAGTAGCATGTGATTTAACTCCCCCTCCCCCCACATCCCGTGTGTGTGTGTGTGTGTGTGTGTGTGTGTGTGTGTGTGTGTGTGTCACACATGAAAGTCAGAGGGCAACTTGTGGGAGTCAGTTCTATCTTTCCACCACGCAGGTTTTAGGGTTTGAATGTGGGTTCGTCAGGTTTGGTGGCAAGTGCTTTTTGACTTGCTGAGCCATCTCACTGGCCCCGGGGTTAGTTTTGAGTCCCCCGTGACAGGCTAGCTGAGCAAAATTACCCTAGTTATTTAACCTCTTTGAGCCCCAATTTCCTCACGTGTAAATGAGCATAATAATCATCAGGAATCCTATCTCGTTGTTGTAAGGAACCAGTGAGATAATAACACTTGAAAGCATTTAACAATGGTTATTATCTCCTCCGTGGCCCCAGCCTGGCAGCCCGGCTCCTCCCTTTGTATGTAGTCTATAATAATGGGAGGGCTGGCCATCTCCTGGCTTGGCTGGCTTAACCTCAGCTCCGGAGCCAGGCTCCCCACTGCCACCCCCAGTGAGTTAAGTGGGCAGTGGGCAGACATCTGGCCATTCAGCAGATACCGGCTCAAGCAGGCCCACAGCTTGCTTAGGCTAACAGCCCCGCTTACTAGGGCAGCGAGCAGTTTGTGCCGAGCCCCAAATGCGGAGAGCTTGGCAGAAGGCTACAGGAACTCAAGCTACTCATCAAGGCTTGGGATAGAAGTAGAGGTGCAAGGTGAGCTGGTTGCCACAGGACAGAGACCTCCAGCAATTTTGAGTCCTGGCTGGCATCAGAGAGCCTGTCTATCTCTACGGTCTGTCCTTTCCTTGCCTGGCTCAGGGGACCCCAACACCCCGCATGCACACCTCCTTATCCATTATGTTCCCTCCTCCCATGCAACTTCCACTTTGCTCAGGGAAATAGTAACTGGGAGAGGATCTGAAGCAGGGATAGAGGGAAACCATGGTGGGGTGGGGGGTTGCAGGCAAAGGCTTAGGGATGGGGGCAGGGGATCTGTCCTGCTCTATTTCACTTTGGAGAGCTCCATCAATAATGCAAAGTCAAAGAGACTCCAGGTCTCAGGCTCTGGACTCTGGGACGTACAGCAGCCAATCAGATTGCCCCCCCCCACCCCCAGAGTATGAGCTCATGGCTCCTCCCCACGGCTCTCCCTCCCTTCTACCAGACTGAGGCTCCTAGGGAATTGGTATTCTGCGGGCAGTGCCCCAAGCCTGTGACCTCTCTTAGCCCCTAGAATGACGCACGAGTGCCCAGGCCAAACAAGATACAGCAACAGGGACAGACAGCGTTTGGCACTGTTAAGGCTTGGACACATCTTCTAGTGCACAGAACCCTGGGGAGGGCTCCCCAATCCCAGCTCTCTTGCCTGCTCCAATCTGGCAGGCAACTGCCAAATCTCTCTTCTCCCCTCCCCCCAGTTCCACCAGTTACTCCATCACAGCCTCGGGGAGACTGCCACTCAGCTCTGATGCCTGCCTCCCAGTTTCCAGGGCTAGGAGAGGGTTCTCTTGCACATTCCACCCCCTAAAAAACCCCCTACTCTTAATGGAGAAAAATCCCAGGACCTTCTAGGTGAGAGACAACTTAAGTTGGTATCTCTTGGCATTACCTGGTTCTGCAGTCCCTGGAGGCTACAGAATGCACCATGGGCGGGAGCTTCTGTTGGGGATCTGGCTGTGGCCTTGCTGCGCAAGTCAGGGACAGGAAGGGCAGCACTCACATGGCTTCGAGTCTCCCTGTTGCCACAGGAACGGCTGGGACTGAATGGCTCTTTCATGGGGCAGTGGGAGGCCAGCCTATTGGCTGGGATCCCCCATACTCCTCCCTGTCCAGTGTGGGGCCCCTGCTGCCTGGCTCCTTTCATTGTTTATCCACAACTGGCAAGTTCAGGCATGTGGCTCCTGACTGTGCCTCCCCAGGTGCCTGCCACCTTGGACAAGGCGGGTAGTCCTAACTCATGCTCCTTCATGCCATCTTTATGGAGGTGTTGTTGCTTCCCCTCTGAGGTTCCCCATCAGTTTGCAAAAATTTCCCTAGAAACTGGCATGCTGGCATTGTTGTGCATAGACGCATTCAGCTTCCTGTGGGGGACATGGGAGCCATCCAGCTGTGACTTCTAGCCAGCTGGTCCCACACCTATAGACCAGGCACTAAGCTCACTGGGGATCTTGTATGCAGCTTCTGATTTTATCTGCCGGACAGCCTCATACCATATGCTCAGGGATCTCCCTAGCCTTCTTGGCGGTGTGCTCAGATGTCGAATCCTAAAGTCTCAGTGTGGATGCAAGCTTGAACTTTTTTCGGATACATAACCACTCAGGCTTACAAACATAATTGAAAAGGTTATATTGTCTATATTAAATTAAAATGAAAAGGAAATCCATAATTCTAAATGGACAAAGGATTTAAATAGTGAATTTTTGGGACAGGTCTTACTCTGTAGACTAGGCTGACTTCAAACTTTGCATCTTAGCTCCCGTTCCAAGTGCTGGGATTATAAGTATGAGCCACCACCCCTACCTAATGGGACTTTCAAATGACGTTTTTATCGCTCATATTTCAGAAGGTTTTAACATTTAAAACTGCACTGACTTGGGCTATGGTGGATTAACTCAGTCCTCCTGGCTGCTTTAAGCAGTAGACGCTAACATTATGTCTACTTGCAGATATGGAAATACTTCTTTCATCTCCCAGCGAGCTGCTGTATTACCAGAGCTGGACGGGACCTGTGCTCTGCCTTCTACTGTCACTCTGAAACTATCCCCTGTCCCCCCGAATCGAGAGAGGACCCCCCTCAGGAAGCAGATGTCCATTTCTCTAGGAAACACTCCTTCCTGCCGGAGCAGCCCCTGGATTTTCCACTGCAGGGGAATGAAAGTGAAGCCTGGTGCAACCTGAGCCGCAGCACAATACCGATCGGCCGTGAGATGGTGAGAGAAGCCTCCATTTCACTGGCTGTGCCAAGCTCTGTGTGTCCCCTGGTACTGGCATCTACCCCAGCACAGGCTCCTGGGCCCCAACCTGGTGGTGGACATACCCCTGAACCTTCTACCCCTGGCTGCTGCTTAGCCCGCTGCCTGGGTCCCCACACTAGGTGAGTCAGGGGTTGAAATGAATCCCGCTCCCTTGAGGCAGCCAACCTCCTGGCATCAGGTCACTGTCATCAGTTCCTGTCATTTCCTGTAGCTCACGTGAAGGGCTCCCGAACCTGCCCAGCTAGGGGAGTGGCTTAAACCTCAAGAATCCCAGACACTCCTGGCCCTGGAGGCAGGGGATGGGTGATGTCCCACATCTCCACAGACTCCATGCCCCTTTCTGTCCGCACGTGTTCACCTTCCCGAGGTAAAGGCATATCCACGTCTGTGGCTTTGCTACTGCCTGACAGAGATCTCCTGCTCCCCCCCCCAAGACAAACATCACGGGCACACCCAAAGCAGCACTAAGTTCCTTTCCTCCTACCCAGATGTTCAGGGCAGGTCAGTGGGGAGTCCCAGTTGGTCTCACTAGGTGCTTGGGAACCTCCACCATGGTGACCTCAGAGCTTCCCAAAGCTGCTTGCTAACTGCATCAGAATGTGCTGACCTGAGGGGTAAGATAGGCGAGGGGACCCTGTCATAGTCAGTGACCTGTCTTTCTGGCTGCTTGGATCCCTTGCTACTCTTTCGGGCCACAAGTGTCCACTCTGCAGATGTGGTGAAAACGACAAGAGGACAGGGGTAGCATGCATTCACATGTTATACCATTTGTTCCTCTCAGGCCCCTTGGGCTCCAGCCTGACCTCTGACCTGTTGCTAGCACCCCTCTCTCTATTAGAGGCTGGTTCTCAGGAGCCCACCCACTTATCACAGGATGCTTCTGCCTTTGGGGGATCGTACAAAGGTATTTGTGTCAGTCTCTATTATTCTCGGTTTGGGAAGGTACCTTAAGACTTGGGGAGGGGATGGGAGATGAGGAGGTAGGATAAAGAGATCAGAGACTGAAGAGATTACAACAACCATCCTGACATGTGGAGAAGTGGGTAGGCACAGGGGCATTGCTATGGGGTGTGTTTTTGATTTGGGGTTAGGAAGGGTGAATATCTCTGTAAGTCCAAGAAAAAGCAAAGAAACAGGCTTCCTTGAAGCAGAGATAGCTTTCAATTCTCTTTCCCATCCCCTCTGCCCAGGTACCTTTCCCAGTGGGTGACCCCTTCTCTTGAGAGAACTCCATCTCTCTCCCCTGAGGGCTTCAGCTGTCCTCTGCTCCCTTATCTTAAGGAGCATTTGGGCTTGGTTACAGCGCTCACCAGGCCAGTGGGTGGCGTCTATCATGCTCCTCCAAACCCACTCAGGGCTCACTTGGGTCACTCAGCTGCCCTTGAGGCTCAGAGACCAAAGAGAGAGCTACTGACCTGTATCCAGGGGTACTGGACGGGAGCTGGGGGCTTCTTTCCCAGCAGGGAAGGGACCGCAGTGTAGAGTCCAGAAGCTGGAGTCTAACTGGGGCTGGGTAATCCGGAGCTCAGGTTACGCTAGCTAGATATATATAGTATCTTATCTGACCTCGAAGAGATGGCAACTCACTTGCATTCCAAGCCCCAGGAGAATTAAAGGGGCAGTGACAGGCCCATCTTCCACCCGATGCCCGGCGACCTGATGGTCCCCGAGGAGAACTAGCTGGAAAGCTGGGAGGGGATATTTGGAAGTAAACCAGGAAGGATCAAGGGGGGGGCAGAGCCCAGGGATGGGACTGAATTGGAGTCCTAAACATGGAGGAGGTGGATTCTCTAGAGCTGTCAATCACAGACTGAGTGTCAGTCCAGCTGCGGGGATTCTGAGATGGGGAGGACCTAGCTATGGGGCACATGGGCAGAGAGAGGCTGGGGACCAGCACTCAGGTGTCCGTCCACTACTTTTAAAATCTAAAAAAATTTTTTTTTTAATGGTGGACTTCTACGTCTAGACCTGCATTCCCCTTCTTCCCCCCTTATGGGATCTAAGATAGCTTGCAAGGGTACTTCAGCTTTCTGAATTTTAGCCATGTAATTTGTACAACATGAATAACAGAGCCAGGGGTGATGGCACACACACACACACACACACACACACACACACACACACCTTTAATCCCCACGGAAGGCAGAGGCAGAAGGATCTCTGAGTTTAAGGCCAGCCTGGTCTACAAAACAGACAGCTAGGGCTACCCAGAAAAACCCTGTCTTAAAAAAAAACCCCAAACCCCAAATGAACAAACAAGCAAAAAATCCATGAATAATAACAATAATAGCAATTATGGCATCCCTCACAGTGATGAGATTAAAACAATAGTTTTAAGCTTCCTTGACCATAGCAAGAGCTCGATAAACTACAATCTTACAGACTATTTCCACTTCTTATCTAATTACTACTGTTAGCTGTGGCAGGCAACCTTTCCTAGACGGTGACCCTTCCTAGAAGAAAAAGGCCTCAGGCCACCCCTCAGGGAACTGCACTGGTGCCAGAGACCAGCCCTGTGGTTTCCTGAACTGGTCCATGTCCCCAAAATGGAAAGGGCAGACAAATCTTGCCACCTTCCCAAGGCGACAGGCCAAGCCTGCTTGGGCTCTTTTCCCCTTTGCTCAGAAAAAAATAGCAAGTGTGGCCTCCCTGGGCTGCCAGGAAAATGCCCAGCCTCAGAGAAGCCCTTCCAGTCTACCTGTTGGAGGGCTCAGGGTTCCAGGGCAGCAAAGGCAGGCTGGGCAGGGTTACGAGAGGAGGGCGTCTCTGGTCTTGGTGCACCTGTCTGTTCCCAAGACGATTCTTCTGTTTCTTGATGGCTCTTCCTGAAGACTGGAAGGCCCCGGGGCTGGTGCCTCCACCCTGTCTCAGCACAGGGTACTGACTCAGACTAGGTCCTGATGATGCACTTCAGAGGACGCCCTCATTCCAGTCCTCATTCCAGAGTGGCATGCATCTACGGCATCGAAGAGTAGGGGACACCCCCACCCTAGCCCATCTACCAGTTCTCCAAGCCTCTGGGCTTGTGGGTTATGTGTGTGCCTGTGTATGTGTGCTTATTCCTACGTTTGGAGAGATAAGCAGTCCCTACCGGGATCTTCAATCCGCCCTCATTCTCAAAAGCACTGGGGTCAAGAGCTATGAGTTCTCCCCCCTCATCAGAGCTGGAAGGGGTTGGCCAGGACTCCGCTTGGCTTGTTGCTTGCCAGGGAACACTGCATGGCTGCCTTTGCTTTGGGATTGGTGAGAATTTTAAAGTTGCCTCTTTCTGATTTGGGATTGGTGGAAAAATTTCCCTTCCGCTTAACTGCTGGCTTTCCCCAAGCCCCCTTCCCCCCCCCCGCTTCGGAAAACTGACCACAGACAGCCCCAGGAGGTTTGACAACAGGGAGGGAGGTAGCTGCACGCACACGTGGGGAGAGAGGGTGTCAGGGTCCAGGCGTCATTCTCAGGTCACACACCACACAGGGCACTGAGACCGGTACCCGCGGTAACAGTGTTTCCTCAGAACACATTGATCAGCACACAGATGGCTCTTCCTGGCACCCTGAGCTGGCAGCTGGCAGCCCCTCTCACACACTGGCACCCACAGCTGGAGTTCCCCCGCACAGCTGGCCCTCGCCCTACACTACTTCTCATGTCCAGCTTGCCCAGGCTGCGGTTGACACCCTACTTTCCGAGCCTCCAAGCTGGCACTGACCCCTGCTTTCCCCTTCTCGGATCTGCGACAGGTGGCACGTACCTGCCTCTTCTCGGAGGATGGACGAGTCGAACCGGGCACAAGCATGGAGCTGCGGATGAGTCCTGGCTGGTACTGGCGCGGCGCAGCGAGCAGTGGCTGACGCAGAGGGCTCCCTGGCCTCGCTCGGTGCCTGCCCGCCTCTCCCCCACCTCCGCCGGGGGCCCAGAAAGGACCTCCCCGGGAAATCGGCGCCACCCAGCGGGCAGCCGCCTCATTGCGCCCGGGCCGGGAAAGTCCCACCCCGCGTTCGCGTCACTGATATACGTCACGGCTATTGGCTTGTTTCTATTGTGGCGTCAATATAGCCCCGCCCGGCGTGAGTCTCCCAGGCAACCAGTATATACAGAGACCCACGTGGAGCAAAAGCACGCCTGTTTGGAGCCTGTAGCTCAAGGAAAGAAGTGGACTGGAATGTAACAGGTCCGGGCAGCTGGAAGGTCACGTCACGGGGAAAGGCAGCCTACCAGCTTTCAGATTTTAGGGAAGGCTTAATGTTACTGCACACTTTCATACCGGGCTGGGAATGATCAATTCCACAGTCTCTTCTCTTTCTGCCTACTTAATAAAATAAGTTATTTTATTAACGTATTAAATTAAATAAAAGTTAAATTAATTAATTAAATTAATTAAAATGAATTTATTTAAGCCAACTATACAGCAGTATTTATAGAGCCACATCAATCAAGCAGATAAGATTATGTCTGTTCAACATACTATTACTACGTTACTATTCAAACGACTCATCCTATGGGCTACTTATTAAGTATCTTATTAGACACTGTGATAAGTACGTTGCACGTATTAGTTTTCTCATTTAATCTTTTTAATGGTCCTGTAAAATGAGAACCACTATTATAGCCATCTATTGCACAATGTAGCTGAAGCCTAGAGGGTCCAGTGTCACGAGGTAACACTGGTAAATGGTGGTAAATGCCAAGGGCCAATTGCATTTCTACCAACACAGTATGGTGGTTCATTTAGGTGACTCACCCCAAGAAAGGGGAGATATTTTATCTAAACTATTAGCATTAGAATTAAAAAGAAGAGAGAGGCAATTTGTATTTTAATTTTAAACAAACCTGACTTCTAAAAGTTATTTACTTATTGTTTAGTTGGATAACACTCCTAGTCAATGAGAATCACTCTTGTTGGTTTGTTTCTTTGCTTTTGTTTTTGTTTTTTTGAGACAGTGTTTCTCTGTGTAACAGTCCTAGCTGTCCTGGAACTCACTCTGTAGACCAGCTTGGCCTCGAACTCACTGAGATCCACCTGCCTCTGCCTCCCAAGTGCTGGGATTAAAGGCGTGACCCTCCAGAGTTACTCTTAAAGGCACCCTGCTCCTTTGGCTTGTGTAGGACTCACAGTGAAGATGACTGGCTGTGGAGTCAGGGGGAGGAATTCTATGGGCTCTGAAGAGAAAGCAGAGACTGGCTGTGAGAATGGCTAGTGGATAAAAGCCCTTCCACCCCACGCCTGACAACCTCAGTTTGATCCCCAGAACCACTAGACGTGGTGGAAGGAGAGAACTGACTCCCATGGGTTTGTCCTCTGACCTGTACATGGGCATGCACTTACAAACACATAAACAGACAAATAGAAAAACAAAATGAAAACGAAATGCTACCATTGTTGGGCTTCCTCTCCAGGAGAAGAAGAAAAGACCGAGGCACATCTTGAAATTTTCCCTCTTAATTTTTATCACCACCCCTTCTCCCACACTGACGGAGAAAACTGCCCCACCAAGTAGGGTGGTGCCGAGGTACATCCAAGACTTCAGCTTTGCCTGGATCATTAATTCCTCCAGGTGCCCTTAGCTCCTTGTCCCATTTTCCACACTATTATGACAGTGGGTCTCCACTCTCAAGTTCCTCCTCCTCTTACATTTCCCAAATAATTTAGAAGGGGGATACTTACATTTTTTTTTACCAACCCGCACCCCACCACTTCATTAGGTAGGTGTGGAATATATGAGGCTCTGTTCTAGATACTGGAGATCGGGAAGCAAATAAAGCAGGCGCAATCTCTCTTTACTGGGCTCACATTTTAGGAGGAACAGAAGGACAATAACAAAAAGTACAAACTATAGTGTGTGAGGTGGAGCTAGAGCGGTGGAAGCCAGTTAGACAGCTGCGGGTGACAGGGCCGGCGTAGGCTGTGATCTGAGATGACCCGATGAGAAGGTTACAGATAAGTAATCTATAAGCGGCAAGAAGTGAGCCATGTGAGCGTGTAGGGGAAGAATGTTCTGGGCAGAAGGGGCGGTAAAAGCAGCGGTCCTGTGGTGGGAGCCATATGCTAGTTTTGCAGGAAAACTAGGTGGGTGTGGCTGGAGTGGTGTGTGGAAACAGCTTGCTGTGCCCGTAGCCATCTTGGGTCATAATCGTCATGATTTCCTGAGTTGTCTGATTTTTCCTACATAGTTTTGATGTGGGATGTTCTTCTGTATATGTGTTTCTTTTATCAGTTGAAGAATAAAGCTGTTTTGGCCAATGGCTTAGCAGAGTAAATCAGGTGTGAAATCTGAACAGAGAGAGAGAGAGAGAGAGAGAGAGAGAGAGAGAGAGAGAGAGAGAGAGAGAGAGANAGAGAGAGAGAGAGAGAGAGAGAGAGAGAGAGAGAGAGAGAGAGAAAGTCAAGGAGATGCCATTTAGCTGCCAAAGGAGAAAGATTCCAGGACATTACCCATAAGTCATAGCCTCGTGGTGATACATAGATTAGTAGAAATGTGTTAATTTAAGATATAAGAGCTAACTAGGAATATGCCTGAACCATTGGCCAAACAATGTTGTAATTAAAGTTCCTGTGTGATTATTCAGGTCTGGGTGGCTGGGAAATGAAAGTGCAGTCTCTGTCTGCATATTCTCTTGGTGTTCTGGCTAATTTTCTCAACTTGATACAAACTAGAGTTATCTGAAAGGAGTGAACCTCAACTGAGAAAATGCCTCTATAAGGTCTGGCTGAAGGCATTTTTTTAATCAGGCATTCATGGGGGAGTGTCCAAGCCACTGTGGGTCTTGCCATCCTCGTCTAGTGGTTCTGGGTTCTATTGAAAGTAGGTTGACCAATCCATGATGAGCAAAGCAGTAAGCAGGAGTCCTCCATTGCCTCTGCATCAGTTGCTGCCTCCAGGATCCTGCCCTGTTTGAGCTCCGGTCCTTGCTTCCTTCAGTGATGACAATGATGTGGAAGTATAAGCCAAAGAAACCCTTTCCTTCCCAAGTTGCTTTAGGTCATGGTGTTTCATCACAGCAATAGTAACCCTAACTAAGACCCCCAGAAAACTATAAAAAGTAAAACCATTAGAGTCACAGATGGGACTTTATAGCCAGACCTTGGCTGCCTATGATATTACCTTTAAGTAAATCAGGAATATGCTAGCCCGTGTTGGAACCCAATAATATGCTCCTTTTTTTGGCTCAAACTGTGGGGAATCCACTTGATCTTGCTGCTGCTCAGGCCCACCTTCTGGAAGGTTTCAGGCAGAGCAACAAGGCTCTGATTTCAGAATGGAGAATGAATCCAAAGAGAGCCAGAGCAGAACAAGGTTTGCGAATTCACCTGGGGAGAAATGATAGGAGCTTTCGCTGGTTTTCTGGAAGCAAGAGAATTGATGAGAGGTGGTTGTAACCCTGGCATGCTTCGACTGCAGCACGAACAGGGTTTGAGATGAGTTAGATAGCAAGAGGGACAGGGGGAATTGTTTTTTCTGAACGTGAGAGAGGGAAGCCGTAGAAGGGGCAGGTTTCGGCGGGGAGAGGCAGGGCGAGCAGCCTGGTAGTGTGTCATGCATTTGAGATGAGTGTTGGGTTATGGAGAAAGCAGACGTTGAAGTCTGGTGTGATCTGGGCTGGGGGTTTACGGCATTGAGAGTCCTCAGGTTATGTAAAACCACGGTATGAAGAGAGACTGGCAACTGTAGACAGAGAAGTGTGCGAGGCCTGAGCTCTGGGGTTTTCCAACATAAGTGGCTTCCGAGGTGGTTGGAACCATCAGACTGGAGTGGAGAGTGTGTTGGGTGCTAAGGAGGAGGGAAAGAGCCAAGTAGATTAAGTGAGATGAATTTCAGGATTGATTTAGAAGATTGATGACCTTGGCCAGAACATATTTGGTGGAGTTTGGTAGAGAGATCAGATGAAAATCTGAGTATGGATGAGTTCAACAAAGAATAGGAGGCAAGGGATGGAAAAAAAACCACCCTCTTTTAAGGTGTGTGTGTGTGTGTGTGTGTGTGTGTGTGTGTGTGTGTTATAGAATCAAGAACATGGGCCCGCACGTGCTGTGCTGCATAGGTGGAGGTCAGAGGACAACTTTTGAAAATTAATTCTCCCCTTCCTCCTTGTGCTTGGTGCTCACTGGTCCAGTTTCCTACTTCCATCTTGCTGTTGAAACACTGGGATTACGAATGTGCACTGTGGCTTTCATTTCTGACTTGGTCCTGGGGATATGAACTCTGTGGTCAGGCTTGTTTAGCAAGTGCTTTTACTCACTGCCCCATCTCTCTCTCTCTCTCTCTCTCTCTCTCTCTCTCTCTCTCTCTCTCTCTCTCTCTTTTATTTTTTGGGATAAGGTCTCACTATGTAGCCTTGGATTCACCATGTAGCGTGTGTGGTGCAGTTCCCCAATTACACAAAGAGATGGGCTTGGGCCTGGTAGTAGAAGGACTGGCTTTGATGGGGGGGCATGAACCACCTAAAGTGAGGGGAGAAGCCTAGAACTCTGGGACAGGCTCGGAGGTAAATGGATGTGGTAGGGATCTGGACGGCATCTTCTTTCAGTGAACTAGAAAGTGAGGCCAGGTAGCGAGGCTGGCTGAGGAAAGGCAGGCATTTGCAGAGTGAAGAGAAGTTAGAAGCAGACAGCTATTAAGTTAGAGGTGGTGGTGCAGACCTATAGTTTCAGCCATTCAGGAGGCTGAGGCTGAGGTTTGCAAGTTCAAGGCTTCTCTGGGCTGCAGAGTGAGGTCAAGGTCAGACAGTCTAAAGAGTATGAAGTCCCTATCAACAGTGCTAGAGATACATCTGAGTGACAGAGCGCTGGACATCTTGATTAGGGAAACAGGAAAAAAAAAAAACCCCAGACACTTAAAAGTAGCAAATAGGACTGGGGAGATGATTCATAGGTTAAGAACGCTCA